TTCAATTTATAATAAAAAGCATTATTTTTCAAGTTAATATAGGCATCGTTAAGTATTTTAATACATACCTATAAGAAAGACTTTGTACCTCTTTTTAATCACATTTGGCACACGGCATAGGGTGCAATGATTGCATGATTAAAGTTACTATGGAGTATGTGCGTAGAAAAAAAATACATCTTTATATATATAATTCTTCTGTGAGTGTGTATGTCACTGAACTTCTCTTAAACGACTGGACCGATTTTGATGAAATTTTTTGTGTGTTCAAGGGGATCTGAGAATGGTTCACAATTTTGTCCGCTGGACAATGTTTTTTTAATTTTTTTTTTATGGCAGTACGAAGTTCGCTAGGTCAGCTAGTTATTGTATAAAAAAACCTTTTTCCCATAATTTTAAAATTCATTTAAAATAACCCTCGGAGATCATGAAGACCTGATTTATTTTTTATTTACTCGAACGCATTTTTTTAAATCTTTTTGATTTTTAAAGTTAATTAGTTTAGCGTTGAAATTCATTAAGTGATTATGAACAATAACCATTACCAAATTAATTATACCAAATCGCATTAGTAATAATCATGGTACTTTATCACGCCCTACCTCTGCGAGTTGGAAATCACAGTGGATTTCTGCTCTAAACTATTTCCCCAATAACTCAAATGTATACCTTTTTAATTTCATTGAGGAGATCGATGGCGCAAGTGGTTAGTGCGGCTGCGATCGTTGAAGTTAAGCAACTTTCGTAGTGGTCGGTCATGGGATGGGTGACCAAAAATTTAGCTCCTTCGTGCTTCGGAAGGCACGTTGGTCCCGGCTGTATCTGCAGTCGTTAGTAATACTAATGCGCACTGGGCCCGCTTGGTGGGTCATGGCCCAATCTCCCTATTCCATCCATAGGGCTGCAGTGGGGACTTTAATGATACCTATATAATGCTGTCCATAATAGATCCTTCATTTATTAACAACTAGCTTCTTTTCATGACTACTTCGTCCCCGTTAACTTTAGCGGAACTTTCTTATATATAATGCGATTCAACTAAGAATAGGACCGACTGGACGCCATATTGTGATATCATAGCTGTCAATTCAAACCAAATAGGTAGAGTGAGCAAAAAAAAGTTTTTATTTAATAAAACTTATTTACTAAGATTAAGTGAGAAAAAGCATCAGATTTTTTTAATCACTTTTATTTACTAAGTTTGAGAAAACAAAAACCACCGCTTTTAATAATATTTATTTATTAAAACTGTGAGAAAAAAAATATGGGTGCGTGTACTTAAGTACGCGCGTGAGAAGTTATACTTCTTTTTGGAATTATTAAAAAATAGTTTTTAATTGAATGCAGATAATGAATTACAATAAGATAATAAAAGGATTGGAAAAGGATAGTCAACGCAGTCAATAAAGTTCAGTTTTAATTTGAAAAATTTAATAAATAATCAAAATATTCAATTTAAATCACTACTGAATAAAATTTATTAGCACATATAAATTTCGCATTTGTATAACATTATAACACGTGTTAAGAATATAGAAACTAGAAACATGTGGATAAATATTATAAATATGAAAACAGTGATCAGAGGCGACGAGCGACCCAACATGTGCGACTAAGAGATCCTATTACTATTTTGTTGGAAGCTTTTTTTCGAGACTTACGAGTAATGTGCGGTTTAGCGACCGACTTCATGGTGTTACTTTTCTGTTACAGTGTTGCGCGCGCATCTTAAAATTTCACTCTCATCATTTTTTCATAACGCGCCCGCGGCTAACTTCATTATGTTACTTTTGTGTTACAGTGATGCGCGCGCATCTTAAAATTTCACTCTCATAATTTTTTCATAACGCGGCTAAAGAAGTATAACTTCAAAAACATTAATCAGAATCTAGCTCTTCTATTCCGCTCATCTCTGCATTACCGCCATTGTAAACAAACAATATTTGTTATTGTTTGTTTACAAATGTTTGGTTTTATTCTTGAATTAGCGGAATGCTAAAAAAGGGTTCCAAGTTTTTTTTTTTGCAAACCGTACTTTTCAAGCGACATTTGACAGATAGAGGTCATTGGCTTTCCTATTCTTATTTGAATCGCATTATATATATTTTTTCATAAGAACGAAGTACCTATTCGCGAATAAAATAAACCACAGGAAATAGGTGTTAAAGTTTTTATATTTTAAAAAGAAATATCGGTACCGTTAAATATCACCAAATTAAATAAATAAACAAACCAATAGATACAATTTAAACAAAACAATAACAGTTACAACAGAGGAGCTCGATGGCGCAAGTGGTTAGCGCGTACGGCTGCGATCGTTGAACTTGAGCAACTTTCGCAGTGGTCGGTCATTGGATGGGTGACCAAAAATTACTATCTCGAGCTCCTCCGTGCTTCGGAAGGCACGTTAAGCCGTTGGTCCCGGCTGCATCTGCAGTCGTTAGCACCCACCAATCCGCACTGGGCCCGCGTGGTGGGTCATGGCCCAATCTCCCTATTCCATCCATAGGGAAGGCCTGTGCCCCAGCAGTGGGGACATTAATAGGCTGATGATGATGATGATGATGAATAACAGTTACGGATTAACCGACCTTGCCCCTGAAATCTTCATAGTTCAGGAAATTACTTTGCTACCTATGGAGTGCGGTGTTTCGGTCGTGCCATTGTTATCGGCGTATTACATCCGCGCTACTTAGGGTAAGAACTCACTGAGCGGTTTTTAGCCGCACCCGCCCGCTTTTTTTTTTGAGTGTCTATGTTGTTGGTCGCAGGTGACCTTTACAGCGTCACCGGGTTTGGGGACGGCAAAATCCTAAGGGGATCTCTAGCCGAGAATTGGCGAGTGCCTCTCTCTAGAGGAAACTTAGAATACCTCTTTATTATATGCGGATGGCATCTCCCCACGGGGGGAGTCTCCTCTCCGTCTGGAGCCTCTAGGCCACTCGATCTGAGAGGGTTGTCTCAACTACAGGGCGTCTCTGAGACTCGGACCTCGGCTCTAGTTAGCCGTTATAATGCGGGGTCCCGCCCGCCACGACCGCAGCGCTGTTTTATTTCAAAATTCTCGAGACGATAGTGGTGTCGTGGTTGCGAGGCCGCTCGTAAACTTAACAACAGAAGTCCGGACAAAGACCGTCTAGTATTTTTTTTTTATAGCGAGGAAGGCAAATGACTCTACTCCATGTTAAGTGGCGATAAAGTCCAAACGCGTAGACTGGTACAGCAGTTCTAAACTGCTACACCAACCATCCTCACCTTATCAGCCCGCAAAAATGCTTCTTTACTCCTCTTCCCAACGCCATAACCGTAGTGGGACAGAGTGGTCCGTCGCTCGCATTGCACAGTCGCACCCGTCTAGGGGGGAAGCCTAGGTGCTCCCGGGCATCCCCCTGATCATCAGGAGGAGGAGGAATCCCTGCCGGGGTAACGTGGAGCGTCATCCGGATGCCACAAAACCCGTTTCGGCAGACGAGGGAACACTGTTGGGTTTTTAGTGGGTAGGGCCCCCCTCGTCCCGAGCAGCCGCCGAGCCAGGCAGTCTGGCTTATTTGGGGGGAGGAGGAGTCCCACATAACCCCACCACTCACCCAGGGTGGGGTGTGCGTAACGCATTTTCCTAACATTAAAAAAAAAGAAGGCATTCGAGATGTGGTGTTACCGTCGCATGTTACGCATTAGTTGGACGCAGAGGGTCAGGAGCGAAACCGTGCTTCAGCGTGTTCATATGTCCCGGAAAATGTTGCCTTCTATCAAAAAGCGCAAGATAGAATATCTTGGCATGGGCAAAGTGGACGGAGACGTGCTGGGCGAAGAAAAAAGTCATGGCTCCGGAATATCCGGCAGTGGACCGGTATTGCCTCCGTCGAACAGCTGTTCCGGCTGGCTGCTGACAGAACTACATATAGGAAGCTAACGGCCAACCTTCAGGATTGAAGAGGCACTGGAAGAAGAAGAAAAAAAAAAAAAAAAGGTATAAGTCATACCGTGACATCTGCTAGTATGTTTTACCAACGAAATACTTCGTTAAAGAAAAATCGGTTAATTTTTATTTGTATTTTATTTAAGTGACTTTTTTTTTTTTGATAATTGTTGAAATTCAATATATATATTTTTCTTTCTTTAGTGTTAACTTCAGCCCATAAAAGTTTGGTCATGCTATGCCCACATATTTAGAGTTACAGTTAGGTTTTGTATTATTGTAATTGCTTTGGTTTTTTTTTTACAATTGTAACTTGTTTTGTGAGCTAATAAATAAATAAAAAAAATAAAAAAAAAATCGGAATCTACGCGAGTTGCGGTCCAGCAGCCGCGACGGGCGCGGGTCGTAACCGCGCCGTGAGTTCTGGGCCTTACTATGCCTGCAACTTGACTTGCGCGAGCGCATCGCGGCAGTCGCACGCGCGCGATCGGTGACATCAGCCCGGCGCGTTTGAAATAAGAACTAGTTTTATTATAGATCGATATTAAGAAACTTTTATTGGACTTTAAAAATTAAAAGTGTATAAGGTGCTTAAAAAGTTGTGTGTTACATAAATCAGTCAGCAATGGTGTCGTAAGTTAAAATAAGACAAGGTTTTGATTAGTTCTGTTATGGTAATTAACATTTTTGTCGTTAAAATAATTAAGTACTGTAAATCATGACAATTCACGAGGCATTTTAATGATTAAAGTTTGACATGAAAGCGCTTGAAGACTAAAAAAAAAACAATTATTTCTATGACCTATTTCTGTTAATATTTACTACTTTATTTTTTCTTTTAACATTAAAGTAAAACGTTCCTATTTCGAACTCAATATTAGTGAAACAAAAAAGGGTGATTAATTACAAAAAATCTAGAAGAAAGAGCTGAATGACTCATAAGCACAAAATTTATAAACTCAAGAAAACAACAAACACTGTTTATCGGCAATCAATAAGAGAAACACTGCCAATTCGCTTGGCAACTTAACTCAAATTTCCACGCGACTATTTCAACGAGTAGATCTGAAAGGTTGAAGATATGGAGAAGAAGGAAGTTCAATCGTTCGATGGTAGCGCCGGGGTGGACGCGGACCGACTCATGAAGGAGCTGGGACAGTTCAGACTCTTCCATTTGTTCAACTACGTCCTGCTGTTCATACCGGTGTATGTGGCTGCGCTGTATGCAACAAACTACGTGTTCCTAGCCGCTGACGTGCCTTACAGGTGATTCTATAATTATCTATATATACTAGCTGTCCCAGCGAACTTCGTACCGCCATAAAAAAAATTTATTAAAAAAACATTGTCCAGCGGACAAAATTGTGAATCTGAACCATTCTCAGATCCCCTTGAACACACACAAAAAATTTCATCAAAATCGGTCCAGTCGTTTAAGAGAAGTTCAGTGACATACACACTCACAGAAGAATTATATATTTAAAGATTATACTAGCTGTCCCAGCGAACTTCGTACGGCCATAAAAAAATAGGGGTTGGTGGTCGAAGGGTGGAAATTTAGGGTTGTATGTATTTTTGCATGATGTGTCATAAAAAAGATAAAAAAAAATATCTAAAATTAAAAAAAAAATTAGGATTGGATTACCCTTAACATTTAGGGGATGAAAAATAGATTACATCCGATTCTCAGACCTACTGAATATGCATATAAAATTTCACGAAAATCGGTCGAGCCGTTTCAGAGGAGTTTAACCACAAACACCGCGACACGAGAATTTTATATATTAGAAAACTAGAATATAAAACTCAAAGGTGACTGACTGAAATAGTGATCTATCAACGTACAGCCCAAACCACTGGACGGATCGGGCTGAAATTTAGCATGCAGGTAGATGTTATGACGTAGACATCCGCTAAGAAAGGATTTTGATCAATGCTACCCCGAAGCGAAGCGAGGGCGGGCGACTAGTTTATAATAAATAAATAAATATTTCCTACACTCACACCAATTAGCCTAGCTCCAAAGTAAGCACTGTAAGGCTTGTGTTATGGGATGCTAGGGTAACGGATAGAATACATGTATTGTACATATATAAGTATATTTATATAGATAGAAATACACATTGAACATTCATGACTGGAGTGCAAATGCTCGTATTCTCACAGAAACATCTGCCCCCACCGGGATTCGAACCCGGGACCTCTCGAATCGGCGACACCATGAAACCCGGCGTATATAAACCACTCGGCCATGGAGATCGTCAAAAAATTTATATTAAAATATTAATAAATTTTTATTCATCACCATCAGCAACCTTTACAGAAGTAGGGAACAGTGCCCGTCTGTCTTGTCTGTCTGTCTTTCTGTCGGCGACTACTTTTATTACGTCAGAAATTAATGTAGTAAATACAGTAAAATATCCATTGAAACAACTCCTGGTCAACTGCGTTATGCAAATCATACCCCGTATTTAGTTAGTTCTGGTGAAATCTGGAACCGAATTACCAGATTTTAAGCAGTATAAAATTAATGACATGATCCTGTATTTATTTTCTATAGATTTCATAGTGAGGAGGTCGATGGCGCAGGTGGTTAGCGCGTTCGGCTGCGATCGTTGTAGTTAAGCAACTTTCGCAGTGGTCGGTCATTGGATGGGTGACCAAAAATTTCTATCTCGAGTTCCTCCGTGCTTAGGAAGGCACGTTAAGCCGTTGGTCCCGGCTGCATCTGCAGTCGTTAGCACCCACCAATCCGCAATGGGCCCGCGTGGTGGGTCGTGGCCCAATCTCTCTATTACATCCATAGGGAAGGCCTGTGCCCCAGCAGTGGGGACATTAAGAGGCTGATGATGATGATGATGATGAGATTTCATAGTTACCACTGAAGTGTTTTTAGCTACTGCTGATGTAGCAAGTTTTTTCTTACCAACTTACAATTACCAACTATACAAATAATTTATCTGTAAAATAAATGCAATTGAGATAAAACACTCGTTTAAGTACTTGTAATTTACGTAATGTTGTCATACAAGTACATACTCGTAACAGCACTGTACGGTACCAATTATATGTTCCGAGACGCCGTTGTGTCTTACAGATAACTTGGTACTTTTTTCAAGTTGTATGGTTTTGACGTGACAACGTCTTAAATTAGGTTGCGGCTGGGAGTCACTTATGAAAAAGTGTAACGCTCGGTAACGTTACGATGAGTCTCTCGTGTTAAGTTTAAGTTTACATGTACAATGTTTTAGTAAACAAAATATATTTCTATAGTTAAAATTTGTGCAATTCTTATTTTCATTCAATTCCTTGTTCCTATTGTGCAATTTAATTATATTCATATCAATAAATATTCTACCGAGAAAAAGACGTTGTCACGTAAAATCTTCGCCCGTAAAACCGACTTTACAGGCAACCATTTTTTTTTAACTTATTTAAAATCTTTTACTATTAAAAGTTCTTATTACTTCTTACAACAAATACAACGGTTTAGAAATATCATGACCTGAAAAATAATTAAGTAGAGAAGGTAAAAGATGTAAGAAGACTTTTTTCGCGGCCATTCGGAAACGGGAGCCGCGACCACACTCGCCCTCTCAGCATGCACTAGGGGGACCGCGGTCCTCATAGTGCGTGTCGGGTGACGGTGCAGGAGTATTGTCTGGTTTTTAGTGGCCCTGTTCAGGGCGTAGGTAGGGCCCTGTTCACATCAGCGAGCTCCAGGGCTGGCTGAAGAGGACAGGGAGGAGTCCCACATACCTTCTTCTCGCTCCCCCAGTGGTTGAAGGATGCGTAAGGCATTTTCCAGACACAAAAAAAAGGTAATAGATGTAAAAGCTTACTAGATTTTCTGCTTGAATTAGAACGCCGGTCTGAGGAAGTAATTACAGTACCCTTAGTACGAGTTTGAGCTCAAAAAAGCTCGAAAACTATCATAGTTTTGGAATTGTAAATTATGTTTCTATGTCCATTTTGGTGGAAATTAACCAAACATGCTTAAAATTAAAGACGCAAATTATTTAATGATAGAATTTAAACACTGTTTATTTGTATTGAAATGAAAACAATAAAATCAGTACCCTTACTACGAGTGCGAGCTCACGAAAATTATCATAGTTTTCGTAATGAGGGCTACCGTTTTCTGCCTCACCAGATGGCGCCACTGTTGAGTGAGGTCCTAAATTGTAACTTTTAAAGTTTATTAATACGCACATGAAATCAAAGGTTACATTTAGATCGTATTTTAACACAAAAGAACCACATCCTAAACATAATAGGCCATGCCACAGTGACGCGCAGTTCCGTTTTATTCGGAAAAAATGGGAACATAATCTTTTTTCTAAGCTCAAATTTTTAATAACTGACATTCATTGCCACATAACTCATATTTGCCATAATTAAGCCGAATTGTTACGAATTATTCACAACATTATTTTAATAAGAAATAAACCCGCGTAGTCAACCAACAAGCAATAACATTTGACATTTCGGAGACCTCACGCTACACTAGCGCCTCTAGCGGCGGATTCATACGCAATAGCCCTCATTGTAAAACTCGTACTAAGGGTACAGAAGATAACTTTGGACTAAGTAGGTGTTGATATTGAGAACGGATAAGAATATTGATAAAACTTGCCACATTGTGAGCAGAAACACAATAAAAATAGTTTACGTGCTCTTGTTAATATTTTATTATCAAACGAAGCTGCTAACGTCGTGGTTTAACTATAAAATATATCGAGAACATTTAAAAGAAATAAAACAGTTATATATCTTATATTTTAAGCATCTAACTGCTAGTCTAAAGGAAATTAAACTAGAAAAAAAACGACGCGGTCCAGGCAGCAAATGGGACTCGAACCTTTCTTCTTTCAATGTTTGATGCTTGTAGAGGTATTTATTTGACATTATGGGTTACTTACAATGCGAAGAGATGGCGCTGCTTCGCAGCCTAAGCAAGGCTAGAGAAAATTCAACACGACCATCAGGGCTGCAGTAGCATAATTGTCAGTGCGTTTGCCCGGATAGCGAAGGGTGCGGGCTCGAGTCCCGTCTGCTGCCTCCGTGCCGTGGCCCTGACGGCCGCGTCGAAATTCTTCTAGCCATTCTTAAGCTGCAAGCTGCTTCTTTCAAATGTTTAATAATTGTTAAAGTATTCATTTGAAATTATGGGTTACCTACAATGCGAAGAAATGGCGCTGCCTTGCAGCTTAAGAATGGCTAGAAGAATTTTGACGCGGCCGTCTGGGCCGCGGTAGCATAATTAGTCAGTTTATTCGCCCGGATTGCGAAGGGTGCGGGTTCGAGTCCCGTCTGCTGCCTGGTCCGCGTGGAATTTTTACTAGTTATATTTTCTGTAGTAAACATTTTTTTTTGTTTTCTTAAGGTTTAAACATCTAGCAGTTAAAATGCTTAAAATTACAAATTGTTATGTATGTGGTCTAAAACACAATGTGACAAAAGTGTGAGCCAACAGCGTTTTTTTAACGTCTCTGTGAACTTTTTTATTTGCAGTACATGTCATTCAATTATCGAAGTACTACAATAGGCTGTTGCTCAATTGATATATAATTTCACTTTAACGTAACCCCATTCTTTTAACTTTGAAACCAATCTTAACCATTTCATTTTCATTCTTTAATTGTATATATTACAAAAGATCTTTGTTATGAAAACAGGCTCGGTCATAGCACTGTACGACAGAAGTGAAACCCATATTGATACAGTAATAAAAATTTCTTTCATTAGACTGTTTGCGTAAAATTTCTATTGTGAAATAAATATTTAAAATAAGTTTTTATTTAAATATGAAAAGAGGCCCATCCGTTCACAGCTGTTTTGTATTCTATAATGTCTGCAAAATACACTCGTCCTTATTTAGCGTTCTTTATTTAAAGGGTGACCACGGAACCTTATCAAAAAACTTTTTGCGTGCGGCCAAATTATGCAAATCGGAGGATTTATATTTTTCCGTGATCAGAAACGTTACGTGAATCTTCCAGCATATTATTTTAAAAAAACTGATGATTTGGACGCGGCCAAAAGTCATGGCCAATTGTAGATTTTTTTTGCTGCCCTAGACGTGAGTACTTATATTATTTTGCCGCGTTCGAGTAAATTCCAAAATCCCCGCGCTTTGTCTCCCCTCATATTGGGGTATAGCACTCACATTTAAAAAAAACGTGTGTCACTCTGGGACTGCCGCGGTAAAGCTATTACATAGCATTTTTTATCAATTTATGCAATTATAATTATTTATTTATTTT